CGCCCGACCTTCCCTCTTCTCCTCCTCGGTTTCTGCCCTGCACCCCGGGGCGGACGCTCTCATGGAGAACTGCGGCCGGACCTAGGGCAGAATCCGCCGACCACTGGAGGCGTGTGGCACCGCACCCTCTCTCGGCACCTCTCCTGTTGCGACCCTCCAACAAGCCATTCTTAACGGGCATCGACAGCGATCCCCACCTCGCCCCCCACTGCGCCCAGGCATCCTCACCTTCTGGGACCTCTGTTCTTGGGATCCCCCACCATGCAATGTCTCGCCCGCCATCGACCCCGACCCCCCCCTCGCCCCAACATCCTCTGTTCGTGGGACCCCCCACCATGCAATTCCTCGACTTCTTCTCGCTCGCCGTCGACCCCGACCACCCCCACCACGCTAAGCCATCCTCACCCTCTGGACCACTGCTCTTGGGACCAACAACCACACACAATCTGTTCCCAAGCATCTACCCCGACACCCACCCCGCCCCCCCCCACGCCCCGGTATCCTCACCCTCTGGGACCTTTTGGAGACACCCAACCATGAAAATTCTCGCCCGTCATCGACCCTGACACGGGCGCAAACCGCCTCTTGTTATCCCCAAGAGCGCCTGCTCTAAAGGAGGGCCCAGATGGAACAACACTCTGGAGCGGTTCTGGGGTGATTCTCCACCTGGGACGCCCCGAAACTCGAGATTCGGGCGGGGGCCCACCCAAGAGAGAAGGCGATCCAAAAAGAACATCGATTTCTGGGTTTGGGTACACCACCTTTCGATGATCCACAAGAGGCCCTCTGGTGCTGGGAGATATCCAAAATGGGCAAACACCACCACCATCATCGTCATCATCGCCATCATCATCGTCATCATCGTCATCATCATCAGCATCATCATAGTCATCAGCATTACCTTCATCATCATCATCATCATCATCATCATCATCATCATCATCATCATCATCCTCATCCTCATCACCATCATAATTGCCATCACCATCATCATCACCACAATCATCATACTCATCATCATCATCATCATCATCATCATCATCATCATCATCATGATCAGCATCAGCATCATCATCATCATCATCATCATCAGCATCATCATCATCATCTTCATCTTTATCGTCGCCATCATCATCATACTCATCATCATCACCGTCATCACCATCCGTAGCCATGTTGGCTCAAGATGTTTTCGCCCCGTGGCAGAGCACGGAGACCCTTGGTCCAGGGACAGCGTGAAGGACTATCACCGCGCCTCTCGTGCGCCCGCACGGGTGAACTCCATATTCGGCCCGTTTCAGCCATGGCACCTGCTCCTGTCAATCGTGATGGTGGCGGCTCCCCTGGCAGCGGCGCCAACAACAATTTCCAGCGTCGCCCTTGGACACGGGTATGGCCTTGGCGGCGGCGAGCAGAGAGAGGGCGCAAAGCTTTCTGTCAGGAATGCGGGGCGTGGCTTGTCACGGACAGGCTTGCAGACGCAGAGTCCCACCAGCCCTTTGGGCGTGAGTGGTTTAGAGAGCCCGCTCTGTCCTCAACCCCCCTTCTTCCCCTTCGGGGAGGGGTTTACCCCTCCCCCTCCCCCCTCCCCCTGGGCCTGGAGAGGGAGTCCGGGGTGGGGTCAGGGGGGCCTTTTTCGACTCCTGGGAGGGCCAAAAAACGACGACCCTCACGAGGATTCTGGCCCCGACGGGGGGACCGAGTTTGGCCCCTCTGCTCTTCTTTGAAGCCAAAATCATTGATTTTACTACGATGTTGGCACCATTTTGGCGTCCTGAGGGGGCCGCGCTCATCTTCCTTCATAGCAGAATCATTGATTTTACAAAGGTTTTGGGCTCATTTTGTCCTTCTCAGGGCGCAGCTCTCATTTGCGCTTCTGAGGAGGTCGCAAGAGGCCCCAAGATGGCCCCAAGAGGCGCCCAGGAGGCTCCCAAGAGGCCTCCAAGAGGCCCCCCAGAGGCCCCCAAGCGGCCCCAAGAGGCCTCCAAGAGGCCCCCAAGAGGCCCCCAAGAGGCCTCAAGAGGCCCCAAGAGGCCCCCAAGAGGCTCCCCAGAGGCCCCCAAGAGGCCCCCAAGAGGCCCCAAGAGGCTCCAAGAGGCCCCCAAGAGGCCCCACGAGGAGCCCGAACGACTCACACCAGAACGAGGAGCCCGAACGACTCACACCAGGACGAAGGGCCCGAACAACTCACACCACGAGAAGCCCGAACGACTCACGCCAGGACGAAGAGCCCGAACGACTCAAACCACGACGAAGAGCCCGAACGACTCACACCAGGAAGAAGGGCCCGAACGACTCACACCAGGACGAGAGCCCCGGAGATATGCGGGAGCAGGCGGAAACACGCCTGAAAAACACGACTGTCGGCATGCTTCGCAAGAGTTGCTGCTGTGAGATGGGCTGGTGGGGATACGCGAAGCGTAAAGAATTCAAGTGCAAGTGCGGCGCCAGTTGCTGGGGGGCGGAGCCTCCAGGAGGATCAGCATCACCCGATCGTGGACAACGTGACGGCGGAAGCTGGGACGACTGGAACTGGCCAGTTCTCAATGCAGGCGGCCGTGGCAAGGGCAAGCGGACGGCAGCACATGGAGGTGGCGATCATCGACCAGGAGGCTACGGCAACCAGTCTGGTGGAGGCAACAAGGACAAGAAAGTGGCATATCTACTCGCTCAAGCAGCAGCATTGGCAGGTGGCGGCGCTTGGAAGCAGAAGCTCGATGCCCTTCGCGCTGAAGCAGAATCACAGCTATTAGCAATACAGTATCCACAGCCTGGACCATGCCTGGCGCTCAGAGCAGCAGAAGATCAAGTACAAACGGCACAGAGTGCGCAAACGAAGGCGTACAGGCAACGTGAGCGGCTACGAGAATAACTTAAGCAGGCTGAGCAAGACTGGCGCAACGCAGTGCAGAAGTGGCGGCAGCTGAAACAGACGTCAAAGAAGAGCTCCAGCGGCACCCTCCCGGCGGCGACTCCAGGAGGGACGGCGACAACGGCGAGAAAAAGCAGCGGGTCTTACCGCTCGGCGCGCTCCTGGAGGACGATGAGATCGATGTCGACCTGGGGGCCTTTTCGAGTTCGGCAGCGACGACATCAGCGAGGCAGACAAGAAGGAGATCGAATCCATGAAGAAACAGTTCCTGGCAGCGGCGAATGTGGCGTTCGCGCAGGCGGCGGCCGCCCTCAAGCAGCAGAGGCAGCAGGAGCAGGATTTCCTCGATGAGATTCGGAAGAATCGAAAAGTGGACGCACCCGACGCCGAACTCGGAGGAGACGAACCAGGAGCAGGAGCACCAGCAGCAGGCGGAACCCCAGCAGGTGCTAGCGCAGTAGGTACGGCACCAGCAGCAGCAGCACCTCCGACGGCAGCGGCGGCACCAGCAGCCGCAGAGCTATCCGAGAGGGGCGCGAAGGGGGAGCGCGAGCTTGCGGCGGCGGTCGAGGCCGCGAGGGTGCGCGCTGCAGCTGAACGAGGGGGCGCAGCGAGCTCCTAGCCATACCATTTTCATGCAGAACCTCTCGACCTGGGGGCCGAGGTTGAAGAAGAAGATCGACTCGCTCAAAGATGGCGTGATCATCTTCCCAGAGACGCATGTCGGCATCGAGGGCATCAACGAGATCGTGGAGCACCTCGACTTCAGGGGTTCCATGGCGGTGGTCGCGCCGTCCACGAGGAACGAGCGCAACGAGTTGGCGGGCGGCATCGGCGCGGCTATGAGAGGTTTCCTGTCGGTGACGTCGATGAGGAACGTCGCATCGAAGAAGGGGCAGGCAGCGGGGCTCAGGCAGCTCGACAGCGAGTGGGAGCCAGGGCCAGTTGACTTCTAGGACATGGTTGCGGCTCAGTGGCGTTGGCGAGGGCAGTCGGTTCTCGCCATCGGCGTGCATCTAACATCGTCGATCGGCATGCGCGGCGAGAACCAGCAGAAGATGGCGCGCGTCGCGGCGCTCACACGCGGTCGCAGTGGGCCGTGGGCGGCGATCGGCGACTGGAGCGCGGAGCCGACCGAGATCCAGACGGCAGGGTGGCTCAAGCTGCTCGACGCGAAGGTGGTAGCGCCAGCAGACGTCAGCTACACGTGCACGCGCAATCCAGCGCGGGTGCTCGACTACGTCGTGTGCTTGGAGTCTTTCTTGATGATCGTGGACGGAGTGGATGCCGATCGTCGCGACCCTGGCGACCACTGCGGAGTTAAGGCGCACTTGAAGGGCGACGCGAAGATCGCGATCCAGCGCAGCCTGCGACTGACCAAGCCCTTCCCGTTGCCCGATTTGCCGGAGAAGAAGGCGGGCCCGAGCAGCAAGCGGTCCAGGCAGAAGGCGAAGAAGCATAGCGAATACGAGGCAGGTGCATTGAGCGCTGCGAGGAATGCGGAACCTCCGCCCTCTTCGGAGCCCTCCCTCCCAAGGTCTGGCGAATGCGAGCGGCAGAAGGACGTGGTCGTCTGCGTGGCCGTGCCACTCGAGTGCCAGCCAAAGGACGAGATGGGCGACCTCTTCGGGGAGTCGAGCGAGGAGGGCGGCGTTCTCAGCGAGGACGATGGCGACGTGAGCGAGACAGCCCACAAGCCCCAGGCGGAGGAGATCTTCGACCTGGCACTCGCCGAGCGCTGCGCCTTGTGGCAGGAGAAGTTCCGCGTGGCGATCACAGACGACCGCGTCGCATGGAGACAGCCAACGCAGTGCGTGAAGGATGCGCTCGCCTTCGCCTTTGACGAGGAGGGATCGCGAGATCAGGGCGCATTGCGGCGCATGGGCGCGCGCAGTGGAGCAGTGCTACATGGTGCCCCTGCAGGCCGAAGCCGAGGAGCGGAGCATCTACCTCGGGCGCGGAGAGGAGGTCCGGTTTATGAAGGGCAAGGCAAAGCTCGGCATCTGCGTTAGCGCCGACCTGGGCCCGTCCATCAAGTGGTGGGGCACGCTGGCCTCGTACTTGGTGGAGTTGCAGCGCTGCGAGGGCAAAGGAGAGAGAGACCTCAGCGGCTTCGTGGCGACCGCAGGGCTCTCAGCAGCACGATGCCCAGCAGCGGCATCATCAAGATGACAGCGAAGCAGAAGCGGAAGTGGCGAGTGGCTCTCAGCGACATTTCCAACGTGTCTAAAGAGCAGGCGCAGCACCTCGGGGCGGCGGCGCTGACCACAACGAAGAAAGGGAAACGCACTGAGGTCGGCGAGGCCTTGCTGGCCTACACCAACTGGGTGCAAGAGCAGGAAGCGGCTGGCAGCGGCAAGCTGCGCCGAAAGACGAAGGACAAACCCAGGTGCGACAGCGAGGCACGCAGCCAGGGAGTCACCGCCTCGGGCATGGTGGAATACATGGACGCGAAGGGCGCACAGTGGCGGAAGACGTGGAAGAGCAACTTCAGCTCGCAAGCAATCCTGCAGCGCCTGGAGCAGTCGCGCGAGGCGGCGATGGAGGAGGACTGGGCGCCCATCACCATCGAGAGCCCCAACGACGCCATCGACGCGATGGCAAAGAGCAAGGCGAAGGGCGTCGAGCAGAAGGGGGCCCTCGCCTTCAAGTGGCCCCCTCCTAACGCGCGAGAAGAGCTGCGCGGCGTCGTCGACGAGGTCGAGCGGGTCGGCACCTGGCCGCGGCAGCTGATGGTCACGCTCGTCAGCCTGCTAAGGAAGGAGACTGGAGGAGACCGATCGATTAGGCTGCTACCTGAGGTGGTCAAGCTCTGGTCGAAGGCGCGCAGTGAGCACGCGAACGAGTGGGTCGTCGCCATGGCGGGGAAGTGGGGCGCAGCGGTCGCAGGGAACAGCGCTCTCAAGGAGGCCCTGGTCCGCTCCTTTTCCGACGAAGTGATCGAGTGGATGCCGGCGAAGATCTACTCGGTGACAGCTCTCTGGGACTTAGCGGAGTTCTACGACACCCTGGAGTCCCTCCTCATCCTGGACGAGGGCCTCGGGCTCGGCTTACCAGCGCGCACTTTGCACCTGGAGATGCTGAGCCACCTGGGCGGGCGCCTCATCAGAGAGAGGACGGCGTGCGCTGAGCCGATCGCGCCAGACAGATCAATCTGCGCGGGTGCGGGGCGAGGCATCGACTTCGGCAGGGTCGCCCTCTACGGCGTGCTCGAGACGGTGAGCGACACGTACGAGCAGGTGCGTGTGCGGTCGTGGGTCGACGACGTCACGACGAGGATGGAAGGCTCCAAGGGGGAAGTGATCAAGCAGCTCGCGGGGGCTGGCGTGGACTTCGCCGCAGGCGTCAAGAAGGCGAAGCTGACCCTCTCCACCAAGTCGGCTCTCATCGGCAACGACGTGGACGTGGTGCAGGAGGTGGCGCCCAAGCTCCACTCGCGCGCGGTCACGGTTACGGTGAAGAACCAGGCGGCCGACCTGGGCATCGACCGCTGCCACAGCATCGCGGGCGGCAAGGGCAAGCGCGCGAAGCGGGTAGCCCATGCTGATCGACAAGTGGCACGTGCTTTGAAGATGGCGCGTAGTGGCCGACGTGCTAGAGGAGGAACTCGAGCGGCGGTGCAGCGCGGGTCCTTGCCGCGCGCAGCCTGCTCTTGCAAGGTGTTCGGGATGGCACCCAGCACCGCGCTGAAGTGGCGGCGGAAGCTAGCAGCAGCCATTGCCCCGAAGCTGAGGGGACGGTGCCTCGCGACGCTGCTGAGCCTGGAGATCGCAAGAGGGGGCCCCGAGTTCGGGGCCGTTTTCGCGCTGCTGGTCTCGTGGGCGCACATCATCAGCGACAAGATCAGGAGGCAGAAGGTCGGCATCATCTGGCAGAGGATGTTCGAAAAGGTGTCGAAGCTTGACCCGAAGCAGCGCTGGAAAGGCGTGACGGGCATCACCAGAGCGATGGTCAACACGACGCTGGACCTGGGGTGGACGCTGCTGGGGCCGTGGCACTGGGTCTCGGACGACGGCGAGTAGCTCGGCAGCGAGGACCCCACGGCTCTCGACGGCAACGTGGGCACGAGCGACCTCAAGCAGGCGATCGCCAGCACCATTAGGAAGCAGGCGGCCGAGCACTACGCAGGCGGTGGCCTGGAGCAGGGCGTCGACATGCGCTCAGCGAGAGCACGCATCCAGAGGTTCAGGAAGAAGGGCGGGTACGAGAAGGTCGGCGCGCATTTGGAGTGCATGACAGGTGGCGTCTGGCCGCGACAGCGCGTGGCCGATCTCGGGCTGGAGATAGGGACGTCACATGCCCTCGCTGTGGAGAAGCAACAGACACGTGGAAGCATCGCATGTGGAAGTGCAAGTGCAACGAGCTGGTCGAGGCGCGCCAGACGTCCCAGCCCCTTGAGGGGCATGCTGCACGCGGCGTCGAGGAGCTGCGTTGCCTGTGGCTCAGAGGCATTTTGCCCAAGTCGTGGACGCAGGTACCTCCTCCACCAGAGCCAGGTTTCGAGCTGCGCGAGCAGATCGGCACCACAGGGAACCTCAGAGGCAGTCTCCCCAGGTACGCACTGCTCACCCTGTCAGCCCGAAGGGCATTTAAGGGCAGACGGTACCGACCCCGGGGAGGCAAACCCAGCAGGTGCAGAGGGATGGCTCATCGCGGCAGGCGACGCGTCAGGAGGCGAGAACACCATGGACCCTAAATTCAGGCGTGTGGCGTGGGGCTGGGTCGCGTTGCAGACGGAAACCGCGAACGAGCCGATGGTGGTAGTAATTTCCCGCGCCGCACTGGGTGGATGGAGGCAAACTGTGGAGAGCTGATGGCGTTGAAGGAGCTGTTGGTGGCCACCAGAGAGCACCCGAAGGTGAGGTACACAGCGGACTCGTCCTACGTCATGGAGAGGCGTGGCGAAGCTACGTCGCGGCAAGATGCCCAAAACGCACGTCGACTTGTGGAACGAGCTGAAGGAGGCCCTGGTCAGCAGAGAGCTCCGCCTGATCAAGGTCGAGAGGCACATGTCGGCGGAGGAAGCAGTGGCGGCGGGAGTGGACCCGATCTGCTACCTGGGCAACTCGCTGGCGGATAGTTTCGTGGACGGCATCATTGAGAAGGTGCAGGTGCCTAGAGGAGATGCTCGCAGGGCCGGCTGGTGTGACGGGATCGCCACGCTAATCAGGAACAGAGGGCATGCGACGCTGATGGCGGCCATCGAGGTGGAGCTGTCCTTGGCACCCAGTAAGCCCCAGCGACACGCGGCTTACCTCAAGAAGAAGCGGAGAAACCAACGCCTGGACAACACGCAACACGTGATCGAGACGGTCAACGGAGGCAAGCACTTCCGCCGGATCGGGACCAGGCGTTGGAGTTCGGCGCGACGGCTTCAGGCGTGCGGGTCGGGCACCAGACGGCCCACGCGTCGCACAAGGTGAAGTTCAACGAGGAGCTCGGCCTGCACTACTGCACGAAGTGCGGCTGCATCGCGCGGGAGTCCATGCGGTCGCTCGCGAAGGAGTGCGGCGAGCGGAAGCAGATGGGCGAGCAGAACCTCGCCAGGATCCAGGGGCTCCAGCCTGACACGAGCAAGCTCGCGCAGGAGTGGAACCGCAAGAAGAAGGAGATGATGATGAAGAGGTGAACGGCGCGCCGTTTGCGCGCCCCTCGCCAATCGCACTGCCCCAGCCTGGGGGACCAGCGCCGCAGGCCAGGTCTTACCAAAAATCACCGTCATCACCATCATAATTACCATCACCACGATCATCACCACCACATTCATCATCATCATCATCATTATCATCATCATCATCATCATCATCATCATCATCATCATCGTCGTCATTATCATCATAATCATCATCACCATCAACATCATCATCATACTCATCATCATAATACTCATCATCATTATCATCATCGTAATCACCATCATAATTACCATCTCCATCATCACCACCACAATCATCATCATAATAAGTATCATCATCATCGTCATCATCATCATCGCTCTGGTCGTCGTCATCATCATCCTCATCATGCTCCTCGTCCGCCTCCTCCTCCTCCTCATCATCATCATCATCATCATCGCCGTCGTCATCATCATCACCAACAACATCATACTCATGATCATGACCACGATCATCATGATTACCATCAGTACCATCATCATCAGCAACAACATCATCGTCTTCATCATCATCATCATCATCATCATCATCATCAACATCTTCATCAACATCGCCATCACCACCAACATCGTCATCATTCGAATTGTCATCACCACCACCACCATCATCATCATCATCATCATCCCAATCCTCATCCTCATTCGCATCATCATCCTCATCCTCATCGTCATTCTCATCATCATTATCATCCTCATCCACATCCTCATGATCATCATCATCATCCTCATCATCAATATCATCATCGTCATGGTCATCACGGTAGTCGCTCGAGAAGCGGATGACCTCAAAGCCGATGACGAGGAGGCGAGGGGAAAGAGGACGAGGAGATGCCGAAAGGTAGCGGACGAAGTGGAGAATACCCTGCAAACGCCCAACGTGGCCTCCAAATGCTCTCAAGAGAATCCGACATCGACCAAAGACGGCCCAACATACCCGCTGGACACCAAGATCCCAAAGTCGCCGGACAGGCGGAGCGAACCCCGAGAGTGACTCTCGCGACCGTCGCCCCAACGAAAAAACATCAACGCATAAATCAATCGAACGCAGGAAGGGAACCTCTGGACTCCTGCCTGCAAAAATTCCCGAACCATGAGTTCAACTGTGTGGGAAACCGTAGAGGCGACAGCTCTCTAATAACACCCTTCAAGAATATGAGACCCTCCGCCAGCCAAACTAAAGAACATTCGAGGGTGCCCTCCCCAAATATGCACAATAATACTCAACAAGCACGACGACCATTAGGGAGTCTCCCCGAACCGACCAGATGGTACTGGAGGTGACCCAAATGGTGGATGAAGAAAGGGGCCCTACAGGGGCCCTTAAGGGCCCCCCTTTGGGTCCAAGGGGGGCCCTCTAGAGACCCTTGAGGGCCTTCTTCGCCCCTCATGCTATGTGTTCCCATCCTACTTGAAGACCAAATCCCAGAACTAATTTCGAGCACCCGGAAAAGTGTCAACAGAGTGTCGAAACGGTGTCGAAACAGTGTCGGGCGAGTGTCTCCCAGGTCCCGACACGTGAGAACCTTTGAATTTCGGTACTTTTTGGGGCGCTCGAAATTCTTCCTGGTGGTCAAGGCTAAAGTAGGTTGGAACATCATAACCCTCATGTAAATCGCCCCCCATTGCCACCCGCCTTCCCTCTCCCCTCTCTCCGGCTCCTCGGCTTCTGCTTCGCCCCACCTCGGGGCGGACGGCCTCGCAGGAAATACGGCCAGACCTAAGAGAGAATAGCATCCTCCAAGACCATGAGACCCCACGCCGGCCAAGACACCCTGAAGCATAAGTTCACCGAAGGCTCCCCCAAGATGCACAAAAACATGCAACAAGCACGAACAACATTAGGGCACCCTCCCCGAGCCGACCGTATTCCTCAGTCCGGCCTTACGCCTTTTTTCGTCCAACCCTTCCCTATCCGCGGCGAGCTGGCACCCGTTTTCCCCCCTGCGCCGGTTTATGGGCTTGCCCTTGTGCGAGCGGGGTGCCATGGCCTGACTTTACTGGAAAGCCCTGGGGGGTGGGCGAGGATCCTGGCCGAGTGTCTGGTATATACAAACATCCCTCCCTGGGGGATAGTCTTCGTATACTGGGTGTGGCCACGGGCGGTGGAATCTCACAGGGGTGGGGGGGGTGGACTGACTCAAGAGCGGCGCACGTAGCCATATCCGCGCCCTCGCGGTCTGGATTCCCCGGCGCGATGCCGCGGACACGCGGCCGCGCGGATACGTTGCACGCGGGGCATCCGCGAAAGAACGCCTCGTAGATACGCGGGCTCGCGGCCCAGGGGCACGGCCCGCAAGGTCGCGGATGCGGACATGTTGCTCGCCCACGACTGGCCCAGCTCAGCGCAAACCCAGCTCAACCAATGAAACAACAACGCTGCAATTTTTGTTTAGGAGCGTCCCAAGCCCGGATCAGCCAATAACCGCGATACGTCTTAGTTTTGGGGGCCGCCCCCTTGTTTTTCTCGGCGGGGAACAAACTCGCCCTCCTCCTCCTCTTGCTCCTCTTCCGTCTGCTCCTCCCCCTCCTCCTCCTCCTCCTCCTCCTCCTCCTCCTCCTCCTCCTCCATCCTCCATCCTCCATCCTCCATCCTCCATCCTCCTCGTCGTCGTCGCGGCGAATATCATTTTCCAACACTGCACGCGCAATGATTTGTGGCCATCATCTCATGAGGATGGCAATCAAAATCAGTGGTTGAGGTTGTAGTCGTGATTGTGGTCGTGGTTGTACTTGTGATTGTAATCGTGATGGTGGTCGCGATTGCAGTCGTAGTCGTCGTCGCGGTTTGTAGCCATAATCGTAGTCGTAATCTCAGTCGTGGTCGTAAGCGTCGTCGTCGCGCTGGAGATCATTTGCTCTCTATTGCTGGGCGGGCTGGACCAAAGTTTGGGGCTTCTTTCTCCCAAAGAATAATGCTCCCAGGGCTACCCTGTACGACAGGGGAAATTTGAGCACATGTGAAAGAGGCTTGCATTACAGGGCAGTTTTTAATACATAGGATTTTTTCAAATAAAATCATAGGATCTTTAATATATGGTTAAGTTATGAATAAATTTATGCATGAACTCATCCTTGTTTTTGATAGTAAATATCTGCATTTTAATACATGATCCGCACGCGGAGCATGTATAAAAAACGGCACTGTATAGTTCGACATATTCTTCTGCGAAGGCGTTGCTCACAATCTCCTCTTTCATCTCTTCGTCGTCGTCGTTGTTACGCGGCGGGTGCCACGGGACAATTTTTCCATCATTGGTGGGGCCCCAGTCCGTCAATCAAGGCGTCGAACAGAAAATTAGTTTTCACTGTTGGGGAGGGGTTCTAAAGACCCAGTGCGGTTATGTAAGGCCGTCTGCAAGGCCGCGAACAGATCCCCAACCAGGCTCGGCCAACATCCGGCTTTGCAAGATCCTGCAGGATCTGACGCTCTGGCTGAGCTCCGTTTGCGCTTAACCCCGTCACCTGCCGACTGCCCCGACGGTATGAATCAACCTGCGGTGATTCCTCGATTTCAGCCCAGGAACTTCCCAGGTGGATACGCGGGGCGGGACAGAGTTGCCGCCTC